CATAGCTTACATTGTCCTCTGTCACCCTTCAACACTTTTCTGTTGCTCATCCCCCTGGGAGGGGGTTATATATTGATCCTTGTTTCCCCTTTTTTTTTTTTTTTTTAAGTTAGTTTATCTTTATTAAAGTAGTGAGCTTCTTGAAAAGTAATGCTGTTTCTTGGTGGTAGTGGTAGTGGGGGTGGGAATGTTCTTTTTTTCTTTTATAATTTTTAAAATATTTTTATTGGGGGTTCTTACATCTCTTATCACAATCCATACATTCCTCCAATGTGTCGAGCACATTTGCACATATGCCACCATCATCCTTTCCAAAGCATTCTCTTCCCACTTGAGCCTCTGTTTTTTAATAATTTTATTGGGGGCTCTTACAACCTTGATCACAAGCTATACATATATCTGTACATATGTTGCAATCATCATTTTCAAAACATTTTCCTTCTACCTGAGCCTTTGGGAGCAGTTTATTTCCTCCCCGCCACCCCTTCCTCATGAACCCTTGATAATTTATAGTATTTTTTTTTCAAGTCTTACATCGACCACTGTCTCCCTTCATCCACGTTTCTATTGTTGTCCCTCCTGGTATTTGTCGACCATTGTGATCAGTTCCCCCTTTCTCCCCACATCTTACCCTTATCCTCCTGGTATCACTATTCTCATTATTGGTCCTAAGGGGTTTATCTGTCCTGGATTTCCTGTGTTGTGAGCTCTTATCTGTACCAGTGTACATGCTCCGGTCTGTAAGGTAGAACTGGGGTCATGATAGTGATGGGGAGGAAGCATTACAGAACTAGAGGAAATTTTTATGTTTCATCAGTGCTATACTGCACCCTGTCTCGTCTCTTCCTTGTGACCCTACTGTAAGCAGATGTCCAATTGTCTACAGATGGGCTTTGGGTCTCACTCTGCCTTCCCCCTCATTCACATCGATATGATTTTTTGTTCTGGGTCTTTGATGGCTGATACCTGATCCCACCAACACCTCATGATCACACAGGCTGGTGTGCTTCCTCCATGTCGGCTTGGCTGCTTTTCAGCTAGATGGTTGCTTGTTTATCTTAAAATCGTTAAGATCCCAGATGCTTTATCTTTTGATAGCCGGGCACCATCAGCTTTCTTCACCACATTTGCTTATGCACCCATTTTATCTTCAGAGATAGTGCCGGAAGGTGAGCATCACAGAATGCCAAGTTATTAAAACAAAGTGCTCTAGTGTTGAGGAAGTACTTGAGTAGAGGCCCAATGTCCATCTGCTACCTTGATACTTAACATATAAATATATGTACATAGAGCTATGTCCCTATCGTTATATTATATATGTACATGCCTGTACTTAGACTTCTATAAATGTCCTTTGCCTCCTAGTTCTTTCCTCTACTTCCTTTTACTTTCTTCTAGTCCCACTATCATGTAAGACCTTCATTCGGCTTTCAGTAATTCCTCTTGATTACACAGTCCTTGATCAAATGCCACCAGGCATCCTCCGCCCTCCTGACCACCGATTTTCGAACAATTGTTCTTCCCCTGTCCCTGGATTTGTTGGCATCTCTCTTCCTTTCCCCCACCTTCCCCTGTCCCACGCCCCCCAAGAAGGTTCCATTGTTTCCTCTTCTGGATTGTTTCTTATCTAGCTAGACCCTTAAAAACAGTAATAAACACAAAAACAAACAAACAAAACAAAAAAGAAAAAGTCTATAAAGAGTTCCAGGTCTGTTTGTGGAGTCTGATGGGGTGCCATGTCCTGGCACCAAAGTCTATATTTGGTATTCCTTGGTGACTTTGTTGCTTTGCTCCCCTTGCTGCTCTGATGCATGCCCTTGGTGTTTATTATTAGCCGTTTTTAATCTAATGTAAAGCTACCAAATTGATTGGTCATAGCTTTATGGAACATCATGTTTAACGCAGGCTAAAGTTCATCAAGAAAGTGATTGAGCATGACACCTTAAATAGAATGCTGCCCTTCTGTGGGATGAAATTCTTCAGAATTTAATTTACATTTAGGGGAGAGCCGTCCTAACACAAAATTGAAAATACACTTGCTTTTCTTCCAAATCACAATTTATAGAAGAGTAAGCCATGTAACAACATTCAACAAATGTTGACATTTTGTATCAAACTTTCTCTGAAGCACCAAAAATATGAAAATTAGCTTATAAATCTAGCAAGTAAGAGCAACTAAAATTACAAACAATGAATGCTGTGTACATATATATTATTGCCAATAGGTAATAAGCGCACAGGATTAGAAGAGAATATAATTCATAGAAAGGCCGAGAAGTAAAGGGACGGGTCATTTGAGAAAATGACAATCAGTCAGTATAATTATTACAAAGGACGAATATGGTAGGAGATAATGGAGAATGGTGGAAGAAGCACCCAGAAAGGAAAGGCTCTGGATCCCAACAGGGACACGAAATTTCATTTAATTCGAACAATTCGTGCACTCCTTATAACCAAATTCTCTATGAATAAAGAAAATTGTACATTTAATCTGTATGCCTTTTATTTCTTTTTCCTGACTCGATCCTGATGGGAGCCCTGGTGACATAGTAGGTGACTCATTGGACTGCTAACCCCAGCAGTTCAAAACCACCAGCCACCCCACAGGAGAAAGATGAGATTTTCTTCTCCCCCAGAAAGTCGCAGTCTTGGAAATGCACAGGGTCAGTTCTTCCCTGTCCTATAGAGTCGCTATGAGTCAGAATCAACTAGATGGAAATGAGTTTGGAATTTTGGCTGAAACCTGAAATGCAACCGATCAATGAGTATGATGACGATTTTTTTATGTACATAACTTTATCAAACTGGGGAACTTTCTTTCAATTCCTATGTTGTGTAGTGCTTTTATCATAAATGGCTATTGAATTTTGTCACAGGTTTTTACCACCTCTACCAAGATTATCATATGGATTTCTACCTTCCTTCTGTCAATGTAGTAAATCACACTGATTCGTTTTCAGATGTTAGGCAATAATGCATTCCTACAAGTCTCATTTTGTTCTGTTTAACTGCTTGTTATATATTACTGGATTCTATGTGCTAGTATCACATATAAACTACACCAGAAAGGAAAAGAAGATCAAATATGCTAAGAAAATATAATAAAGAACATGATGATTAGTAGCAGAGTTAGTAAATCACACGGAGATAATCTCCCAAAAAGAACAGAAAACATTTTTTTTTAATGTAATATGGAAAGCATACCAGAAAAAGAGATTTAAAAAATTACCTCAGGAGACCAAATCATTAACAAAATGTTGAAGAAAATATCTCAGTACTGTAGGTCTGGCATGTCTACATTGAAGGGGCTTCAGATCCTGGGCAAGCCAAGATAAAGTATTCCAAAATTTCAGAAAACTAGGAAGAAAGCAAAAATTCTACCATCTCACAGAAAGAGGCACAGAGGGAAAATGTTGTCAAAATAGCTGCAGACTCTTCCTACATAGTACACGAGACAAATGCCATCAAACTCTGAAGCAACATTATTTACTAACGATGCCTATTTAACACTGTGCCTAGTCAGGAATTAAGTCAAGGACGAACACAGATCTCCTCAGACAAACCAGGTCTCTCATCTGTGCGCTAGTGAATCCTCCTAAAAGACCCTAAAATCAAAATGGAGAACACTGTGCAGCAAGATGGGTTTTTAAAAAGTCCTTAGTACTCCTAGCATTCACTGCAACTGTTATATGGTCTGATTAAAAGATGGAAACTGTTGGACATCACTTGGCATAAGCTAAAGAGTTTCATTAACAAAACTGAGGACATAATCCACCTCCTTGGATTTCATATCCAAGAAACATAGCAGAGCAATGAAGTTCTTCTGCTTCTATGAAGGAAACCATCCAAGGAGAAAACTGAGCTTACCAATACGCTTCTAGAAGAATGTTCTACAGTCCCCTTTGTCAAAAGATTTCACCAAAAGAAAACAAAGAGGAGAGGAAAATGTTAAGAGACCCAATATGAAAGAGGAGAGAGAGAACGCACTGAAATGTGTGTGTGTCACAGGGTTCATTAGAAAGAGGAACATCTCCACATTGCTGCAGAATAGAAGTGCCTTTACCACCCACTCGCCCCAGCCACCACTTCATTTAAGCTGATTTTATCACTGTGTTACTTATGAACAATCACATGGCAGTAATTTTCAGTAAACATCATCCTCTCCAATTTACAGAAGAACTAACTGCTTTGAAAAAGTCTTTAGAAGGCAGATTTTCCACTTGAACAAGACTCTAAACACAGAATTAAAATATTTTAATATATGCCCTTTAAAAAATATTTTAAGCATCCAAGTAAGATGAAAATGATATTTCGGGGTGTACATGCAAAAATGAACACATTAATGAGAAAATGTAAATTTTAAAAGTTTCAAGGTGATACAGAGCCAGGAACTGGTCAACCATCCAAATTACAGATTTATCTTACATATTTGAATTTTCAAGCCTAATATAAAACATATATATGACTTTAAATACACTATTAAACAAAGCTGCAAGGTCACAAGCCCTGACCTGGATGGAGATGCAGACAGCAGAGTCACTTAAAACAGAGATAATAGCGGAAACCAAGCTCTCCAAGACAATAAGGAAAAGGGGAGAAGGAAAAGCAGGAGAACAACAGAGGCTTGGGGAATACCCACACATAAAAGCTAACCAGCAACAACAAAGTCCAGTCAGCAATAGGGAAGACCTGGGGGAAAAGATGCCCTCAAAAGTCAAGAGAGAAGAGGGCTTCGAGAAAGCGCCAGCAAAGTCAGGGGCTACTGAGAGATCAAGGAGGATGACGAGAAATCAGAAGCCACAGCAGAAAGTGAATGGCCATATTGAATTGGTTAAGATTACCTATTTCCATCTCAAGTGACAGAACTAAAGTTTATCTGCAGGGGAGCGGGGGAAAGAGAATACACACTGGCAGGAAAACAGATTTTAGTGTCTGGAGTCCAAGACAAACAAAGAGAAGCTCTTTCCGAGTGATTTGTTTTCTTTAAGGGCTCCACTCACCAAACTGCGGAGCAGGCAAGATTCTGGCAGCTCGAATTGGGCCATGTCGAACCGAGAAGAGTTCCTGTGCTTCCCCGCTGAGCTGCATGAGAAAGCAAACAAACAAACACATTACACGAAAATCCATCTCTCAAATCTTTTCACATTTTTTGGTCTGAAATGTACTGTGCATAGTTGGCCATATAGATTATATTAAGCATACTCAAATCTTAAAAATTACCATAGGACACACTTTGGGAAAATATGAAGCGAGAAATAAACAGCTCCTTCTTGAATTCTGTACTTTTTATCGTTATTAATTCAGTTCCTGCATAGCTGCCTTCTATTCTGGAGCTTAGCAACTACGATTTTTTTTTTAATGAGTATTAAGTTTTTCCATGTATGAAAGTAATAAGTAGCCTTAGTATCCTAAAAAGCTGATCTTAAATATGATAGGAAATTTATGAAATATGTTCTCATAGAGGAAGGGAAAACAGTATACACTCAAGCAAATAACACTCAAGTGGAAGGTGAGGATCTAAGTTTTAAGTATGTTACTAGCAGCTGTGGATTCATACAGCTGCCCTCTAGTGAGCAGCTGAGGGCTTAGCCACTGCTCTACCAGGGCTCCCGGTCAACAGATAAAATAAAGATACAAACAAGCAGTTTAAAAATACCAATAAGGTATCCATTATGAAGTAACAGGCTTCTAAATAGTAATAACAAACCAAGCAATTGGGTCAGGAGTCCGTGTGTAGTATAAACTGCCCACCCACTGAGCTGTGTCCAACAGTAGAGATTAGGGTTCAAAGACACCTCAGAAGAAAGGTCTGGCAATCTACTTCTGAAAAATCAGACACTGAAAGCTCTATTGATAGATCTAGTCTGATTGATACACACAGGGTTTCCACAAGTTGGTACAGACTGGAGGGCAATGCTTTTTATTCCCTTAGTTACTTTTAGGTCTCCAACTAATATCTAAATCTATGGTACGTAAGATATAAATAACTTTGTCTCTTAAATATTAAACTATGCTACTGTTTAAGTGGTCATCATATTAAGTTTTCATATGAAAATTACTACAGCTTAAATACTGGCTATACCTGCAAAAACCTGCAGCACAGAGATGGAGAAGGTGTGCAGAATATTCATCTCTTAAGACTACAAGGCAACCACCAATCGCCAATTAAACATACCAAAGCTACCTCAGCATAGTAAATTTTAAGAGCCTATCTTCTCTACAAATTCCTTTGTAAAGTGTAATTAATTTTTATAACAAAAATCATGGCCATTATATATTATAGCTCTTAAGGCTACATCGTATTATTATACAACAGAATTTAAAATGTAATGCCAGCCTTACAAGGTCATTTTGTTTAAACCCCTACCCCCACCCCCAACCAATGGAGGTATCATACATTATCTGCAATAAAAATTACAATCTCTGATTTTAAGTATACCAACTATAAAAGGTAGATCACTAATGTAATCTAATTCTATTACAGATACATTAATGGCTATCTTCCTACCTGACTCATGAAATTTTAACAATAGCTAGAAGAATAAAAAAAACTGCCAGGCTATTTAGTTTTTAAAATTAAATTGTTTACTGGGCAAAGGATTAAATGATGGCCTTCTCCAATGTACATACTATTTCAATTAACAAGGAAATGAAAAATAAATTAGAAAATAATACTGTAGAACTTTGCAGTGAAACTATAATTCAGAATAATAGAAAACATTTCTCGCTTATCAGGCTTATACCTGTAGCAAAGCATAGTACCATAACTCAAAATTGGCCCTTCTGTGCTGTTATTTCCATCTGTCAAAGGCCAACACTTGGCTTCAGGTTTTATCAAATAAAGACTTGAATTTTTTTTTTAACTTTTTAAGGTCTAAACATTCTTAGAAACAACTCTGCTATACTCAAACACACTGAAAAATAGAGAATTAAACCAGTCTGCCTATGCTTATTCACAGTACAATAAATCTTTGCTATCACTGTAATATACAAGAGCTTATATTTTGAAAACATTTGAAAATATGATCACACTGTTCTTTTTAGCATAACAGCTTTCAAAACAAACCTAAGTCCTATTTAATCTAAATTTATATTCTAAATGCCACTTTAGAGAGAAAGCAAGAAGGTGACAAAAATCATTAGGATTGATTATAAATTGTGCCGCTATTATTTAAGGGGTTGTCCAAACTATTGAAACCAAAAGCATAATTCTGAGTTAGTCTCTGTGAGTTATATACATCAAGCTTACCGGAGGAAAGAATTCTCCAAATACCAGGTGCTATTCTGCATAAGAATATCATGTCTGAACAGAAACAGTGCTAACAAAGTGTATGTATACGGAGAGAACATGTAGTTTAGTAAATGCACAGAAAAGATGGACATGTCTTTTACAGACTGCCTCGCTGCTTCTCTGACTGCCTCTATTAACTTTATACAGTATGCTCACTTGTAATTTTGTTTTCAAAGAAATGCGTGTCAACACAGATTATGTTAAAAGCCTTAACATAAAAGTTATGCTCAGGCTTTGAGAAGTGCTTTTTGCTTTCAAGTTTCTTAAAAAGAACTCTTATTGGAAACGGCAAAGAATCTCAGAGATGAGGACTTTATATATCCGGAAAAGAATTACCAGAAGCTATAAATTCACTTTTAAACCAACAATAACAATAAATGCAAGAGTAGAACAACTACAAGGGAAGAGAGCACCAAGCTCCATCCCAACTTCCTGGCGACTGCAGCCTCTGGGGGGGCGGGGGGTGGGGGGTGGGGTGGAGCACACAGGAGGAAAGCTCGCCAAGAGCTCCCCCGGCTCTCTGCCTTTGTGCTCACTGGCAGCTTAATTTCTGATGACAGACTTTTGTTGTTTGGAGCATAAACCGGACGTACCAGTTGGGAGGCACAATAAGGAGAACAAAGAATGATTTGTTCACACTGTAGGAAAAAAATTTTTTCCAACCATAGAAAATAGCTTTCGCATGGTAAAAATATGCAAATTACATACCAAACCCCCCAAAAGAGGGGAGGGGGGTTGAAAGTACATGTTTAGCATCTCACAACTCAATCTAAGGCAAAAGGAAATTATAACAGCCGAGACAACAATGCGCGCACGCACGCACACATACACACAGCAGTTATAAAAGTTCTGGGAGAGCTTTAGAAGTGTTTTTTGAGAATTTTAAAAGCAAATGAAGGTCATCTAGCCCTCAGAACCAAATCTGTTTCTTAAATCCTGATGACTTCAAAGACTCTTGGTCTACAAAACAGAAAATTCAATTAAACGCCAAGGACAATAAAAATGCTCTACAATACCACAGGATTGGAACAGAAGTACACACATATTTCACACCACCACCTTCCCTTGTAGACATTAGTCAAAGAGGGGACGTTTATTATTTACAGATATACACAAGCATGAGTGTGCATATAGCTTAATGAATTTATGTCCCTTTCTAACCAACAGCACAGACTTTAAGACACAATCTAGACACTCCACTCCAATTCTCAGACACTACCACCCCAACTCAAGAGTACCCATAGTCAGTTTCACTTAATACACTTGTTAAATGGATCACCTGACGTGCTCCTTTCTGAATACTCTCTTTGGTCATCATTATGCTTATAAAATTCATTGACATTGTTGCTTGTGGTAATAGTTTTTTCTTGTTCCTGTTACTATATAAATTCCCATTATATGAAAACACTACATTGTATTCATTTTACTGCTGTGAACTTCAGGGGGGTTTTGTTTGTCTTTGCCCACCCCACCCCCGCCAACTCGCCTTACTTTGAGACTCTTAAGAAGTCAGAAAAGTTGTGGATACCTTTGAAGTTGAAGTGGGAAACGGATCATGTGTGTTCTTTCAATTGTGCAGTGAACCTCTTGGGATTATCTAATTCTATAGGGACCTGCCTGCACCTTTGTCTTTGACTGTATTATTTGACCATTCTGCGAACTGTAGAAAACTGATAGTAATGCAACAGCTTCTAGTCCATAGAAATGCAAATAAATTCTGGCTGGTGGGCAATCAATTAAATTCCACCCTATTCAAAGATGCTCCCAAAGAGTACTTTTTTATGGCGGATAGTTATTTATGAAGTGCCTAGGTGGCACAAATAGCTGAACACTAGCCTGCTGATATCTTGCAGTTCAAACTCACTCAAGGGCGCCTCCGAAGTGAGGCCAGACAACCTGCCTTGAAGATCACATGGGCAGCAATGCTGCCGTGCACACTTGGGGTCAGCATGAGTAGGCACTGGCTTGTCCTCAGTAACAAGACAGACAGCACCCCGCTTAGCATCTACTAGCAAATTCACTTCAGTGTACCTACAGATCACTTCTTCATATGTGACTAGTTTAATCCCTCATTCTGAGTTTACTAAAATTTATGAGACAGATTATTATGAGCATCATGATTTTACTTTTTGAAAAATAATTAGGAATACTATGAATATTCTTGCACCTATTTTGGGAGAACATATAAATGCCTCTCTTTTGGGTAAATGTCTAGCAGTGGAACTCCCAGATCATAGGATAGGCATATATACATCTTCAGTAAATTCTAGCAATGGTTCCCAATTTACCAATTTACACTTCCACCAGCTATATATGAGTTCTATCTGCCCCATATCCTAACCAACTAAAAGTATTGTCAGCCATTCAAGCGGGTGTGTAATGGGATCTCACTGTGGTTTTAATTTGCATTTTTCTCATGACTGAGGTCTACTGAATGTCTTTTCATATGCATATTAACCATTTAGTTATCCTATTTCATGGAATATCTGTAAGTCTCTTGCCCTATTTATTAAGTTGTCTAATTCTTTAAAAAAAAACAAACTATGAATTTCAATCTAACATGTCCAGTGAATGAAGTGCATAAACTGGTCTCCTCTAGGAAAGCAATGCAACCTCACGGTAAACATACAAATAAACAGCCTTTACTAAGGTGGCCTGCCATCAGGAAGCTGATGTAAGCCTTTTGTCCTAAAGAACAACTAATTTCCAGACTTAGATATGATATGATAAACAGTACAGAATATGAATGAGATTCAAGACCTCATTTCAGCAGCTCTTGATAAAGGTAGAG